AAATTTAGGAGTCACCGGCATGTAGGGCATCATTAAAGCTGTGAATTAGTTTGCCAGAGAATGAGAAGAAAAAGGGCAGAGGGTGCAATTTTGGGAAGCTCTAATATTCATGACATAAATAGAGAAAGGCTAAAAAGAAATGATCAAAGAAATAGGAGAATTAGAAGAGTTTACTGCCAATATTTCCATGGAAAAGATGTGATTTTTACTCTTAAGGCATTCCCAATATACTTAGGTGAAATCATGTTCATTAATAAGGAAAAGGAGGGTGAAGGGAAGAGGGAAACTGATTTTATTTGACTTCACTCATTTCAATTTTCATTTCTTATGACAGTACTCATACCGTATATCATAGAGGATTTCATATTTACATCATAATTTGGGAGAGGCCTACCTCAAAAATTGTTTTGACATTAAAAGCCAGGAAATCTTATATGATATAAAAATATGCATGCTGGACTACTCTTTACATCATTAAAAGGGAAAAAAAATAAGTAGTGGTGTTTGCTGTCTGAAATTTAAATAGAAAATTGAGCAAATCAAAAATGATAATATTTGTCTTAGGTATTTTTTTTTTTTTTTTTTTTTACCAGAGTCAGGTCAACTGGACTTTACAACCATCAAAGGGACACTTTTAGTACTTAAGCAGCTCAGTTCTGCTTCTGCAGAAATATACTTAGCCATCAACTGGAAAGCTACTCTCTAAAAATGTAGTAGTATGTGGAGAAATAATTCATAGACCTTTCCAATCCTTTCCATATATACTATGTAATGAAGTTACTCTTCCTTGAAGGATCTTAGACTTCACACAAGAACGCTGGCTATGAAATCAGCATCCACGGAATGATCAGGCCTCATAAAAGTCAGTGAGATGGTCTGGACATTTCCACCAGCAGCACAGAGTTGAAGTTTTATAAGATTGTGGTAAAGATGCAGATGCGATTGCCTGTCTTTACAGAAATAGAGCATGATAGAGAAAAAGGCACTTTGAGATGATGGTCACCTTTCCCCTCTGTGCCACATGGCAGTTTAACTAGCTGATTTCCCACTTGGCTCTTGAGCATTTCCAGTGAAGGTAGTTCTGAAGGCTGCCATGGTGATCAGTTCATTGGGGCGTATTTCTTTAAGGTCTAGTTAGTGGCAAAGGGACTTTCCCCTGGAATTTTTGGTCCATTGCCTTTCATTCCTTGGTCCTCTTTGCTTTCCTTATATAATTCAGTAATATCTTTATTCACATTGAGTCAGGTTATCACATTGACTTTGTGACCAAATGGAATGATATAAAATATGCTGTGTGCTCATAATGCATTGATTCATATTTCCCTAGTTTTCAATTCCACAATGAGATGCTTTGATTTATTATTTATTAGGGGAGTATAACAGGAAGAACTAGGAATTTTAACAATCTTTTAAAGCCTAGTACAAACATATTGGCATTATTGAAGGAATATTTAAATAGAAAATATTATATTGCTTCTAATTGCTTCCTCCAGATCATCCTGGAAACTCAGTGTCAATAATATAATTTAGCTGTTACTGACATATTGCCAACTAACTTTCCACTGCATGCTGCTTCATTTGTGTTAAATGTGTCTTAAATAATGGGCTAATGTGTACCCTTTTAAATAATATTTGCTTAAATGTCAGTTTACCTGTTTGTCTTTTTTTAAAATATGTTTTTATTGATTTCAGAGAGGAAGGGAGAGTGAGAGAGAGAGAGAACTATCAATGTTAAGAGAGAATCATTGATCTGCTGCCTCCTGCATGTCCTCCACTGAGGATCAAGCCTACAATCTGAGCGTATGCCAGGATGGGAATCAAACCATGACCTCCTGGTTCATAGGTCGATGCTCACTACAGAGCCACACCAGCTGGACTACCTGTTTGTCTTTTAAAGAAGAAATATTTTTATAGTGATTCTGAAAATACTTAGGAAGAAAATTTCTAATTGTGACTTGTGCTAATAGAGCTATTAACAAGGTCATCTAGGAAAAAAAAGAAGTTATTTTAAATTGTGGTTCCAGCTCTGTTTTTCATATAGTAATAAAAACTGCTAAATAAATATAAAGCTCTACAGCATATTCAGGGATAATTCTATATAATAAAGAGGTAATATGCAAATTGACTGTCACATCCTCGCACAAAGATGGCTGCCCCCATGTAGGCACAAGATGGCCACCACAAGATGGCCAGCAAGGGAGGGTAGTTGGGGGTGACCAGGCCTGCAGGGGAGGGCAATTGGGGGCAACCAGGCCTGCAAGGGAGGGCAGTTGGGAGTGACTGGGCCGGCAGGGAAGGGCAGTTGGGGGTGATCGGACCGGCAGGGGAGGGAAGTTGGGGGCAATTGGGCCGGCAGGCGAGCAGTTAGGCGTCGATTAGGCTGGCAGGGGAGTGGTTAGGGGGCAATCAGGCAGGCAGGCAGGGGAACGGTTGGGAGCCAGCAGTCCCGGATTGTGAGAGGGATGTCCAACTGCCTACAGGGATTGGGCCTAAACTGGCAGTCAGACATCCCCCAAGGGGTCCCAGATTGGAGAGGGTGCAGGCTGAGCTGACAGACACCCTCCCCCCCATGCATGAATTTTGTGCACCGTGCCTCTAGTAATTAAAATATTTATCAAACAGGGAGGTAAGGGTACTGCCCTGTGAGAATGGGCTCTGGCCTAATGTCAGGAACAGGGCCCTGAGTGCTCCTTGTACAGGTGTTAACCCTTTAGGTGATGGGTTATTGATGAGTCAAGGTGCTAGGCTGGAGCCACAGCTGCAGGGGAGCATTGGAAGGCTTAGGAAAGCAGCCATAGAGCAGCCATATAACAATAGTTTAATACTGTAACAGCCAGTACTGCTGGGCCAGGACAGCATGGCTTATTTCAGCCCCATGTACATCCAAGATCGTAGGTGACATTTTTGTTGGGGATTTGTTGAAGACTGCAGTAGTATAAAATCACATCCCACTCTTCCAAGCTGTTCATCTGTAAGTATTCTGGGTATTTCCTAGAGGACTCAGAGTGGTATCGCTGAGTTGGTGGGTCTTGTCCATTGGACAGAACATGCCCTGAAATGCATGGGGTCATCTATATGGGTAAGAGCCAGTTCTTGTCTTGCTATTATATCCCCAGCGCCTAGGCTTTCTTGACAGATAATCTGTATATATAAAAGTGTAATGTGCAAATTGACTGGACAGCAGAACGACCAGTCGGCTATGATGCGCACTGACCACAAGGGGGCAGACACTCAATGAAGGAGCTGCCACCACTCCGCAGGCCCCGATCAGGCCAATCTCTTGGTCCCTGTCCCTGGCCGACAGGCTCTAATCACCCGATGGGGAACAGGGAACCTGGGGTGGGTGGCAGTGGATGCAGGCAGCACTAGGGCCCTGACCGCCCCACCAGTCACCCCACACACAAAGGGCAACCGTGGTGGTGGTGGTAGGGGGCAGGAGTGGCTGCTGGCAGCTGAGGAAGATCGGCCCTGATTGCAGGCCAGGCCTAGGAACCCTACCTGTGCATAAATTTGGTGCACCACGCCTTTAGTCAGGAATGAATAAATGATTGGAGGTGAATATCAGGCTATTTTCATATTCAGATTTGGTAAGGCTAACAGATTAGCAGACAGTTGCTATTGGAAATACAGTTTGTTAGTCACATTCTTCAGAGGAGAGGGCACATTACTCCATGGAGGAGCCACACAGGGAAGCACCTGAGCCGGTCAGGAGGCGAGGGAGTGAGGAGGAAACATAGGCAAGAGCCTTTATGTAGGTTTCACTGGGAAAGAATAAGTGAGGCAGGGTAAACAGGCTTAGGAGTTGCTAGTCTGAATAATTCCAGTGGCTCCAGGTGTAGGGCTGTCTGGCACCCAGCATTTGAGTGATTAGGACCAAGGGATAGTTATGATCCTCAGACAAGGTGATGGGGGTATGGACTTTGGACTGATTAGTAGGCAGATGAAAGGCGTGCTCACAGGCTAGTCACCTACCATCTCTAAAAAGTGGCTAGCCCTGAAAGGGGCAGTCTCTCCAGGATCAATAGGGCCCCTGATATCAAAGCATGAGAAACACAGAAAATAAAAATAAAAAAGCATCATTAAGACACTGGCCACACTTGGGAAATGATGCAAATATTCCTTTTATCCTTAAAAGTCTGATGTAGGCAAGCAGAGATGTTTCCTTTCTCTTTGCTTTCCACATTTCTTTTTAAACCTATGAGTACTTGTGTAAAAGTGTTTACTGGTAATAATTATAGCTAAGATGTATTGAACCCTTACTCTGTGTTTAGCACTAGCATAAGAACTTGACATGCATCAACCCATTTAGTGTCCACAACATCCCATGCAGAGTGTATAGTTCATATTCTCATTGTGTGTATGAGGAAGTAGGAGCCTTGAGAAATGACATAACTTATCAGGGTCACATCGAGTGGCTATGTGACACTCTTATTCTCTGTGCTGTTCTCTGTCCCCCATTCATTTTATTCCAGATATTTGCTTGTGCGTCTGTTGGTGTGGCTAGTTTCGGCAGTGCAAAACGTTGGCCAGCTCTTCTCACCTGTGTGGTGCCGTCAGAGAGGGGGCACCACATAAACCTTTGGGGGATCCGCGAGTAAAGCTTCCATCACTGTTCTCTTTAATTTTTGAGCAGCCTGATCAGCAGCTCGTTGTCTGGTGATGGTGGAGGAGCTGTTCTGGGGGAAGGAAGACCTCTTTTATGACTTCCTGCTCTTTACTTGACATTCTCTGAGAATGGGAACTTGGGAAGAAAGAAATGTGTGACTCTGCAAATAGTTATTTCTGCTTTCTGGCATTTGTGCCTTATTTAACCTGAGAGCCACAGATGCTTGCTTTGCAAGACATGGCCTTTAGAAAGAAGTGTGTGAGATGTGTCCTTGGGAAACTGAAATGAATGTGCAGAATGTGTTTCAACCCAGGAGTGCTAACGGGAGAGACAGAGCACCCACGCTTGTCGTATGGCGACTTTCCTGATTGTCTGTTCTGCTTTGTCTTCCCAGCTTGTCACCCATCCTGTTTCAGGTGTGCAGGGCAGAGCCCGCACAACTGCACAGCCTGCTGGCCTTCCCATGTGCTGATGGAGGGGCAGTGCCTCTCCCAGTGCCCGGATGGGTACTTTAACCAGGAAGGCAGCTGTACAGGTGAGTGTGTGACATGCTGGGGTATATTCCTTGTACCCCTGTTTTGTCTTCATAATGCGGCCAGACACTGTAATTAGAAACATTGTCATACCCATGGGACTAAGGGCTGGGTTGTAAGTCCCTATCTAGAACTCGTAGGAGTAAAGGGAACAAGAGAAATTCAGTTCTTCCAATAAGGAAGCATGGAGGAAGTGACGAATTAGAGCCACCTTACCCTGCGCATACAGTGAGGGATGGGTGTGATGGCAGGCTCCAAGGCATCTGTGTAGGACTGGGCATTGGGCGTGACCTCTGCACTTCTCAGCCCCACTTCCCCTGGTTATAGCCTAATAAAGCAAAGGCAAGGGTGGTGGTGGTGGACATATGTAATACTTTCAGCAATAAATAATTTTAAAAAATAAAATAAAGCAAAGAGAGAGGTATTTATTTTTTTCCTTGACAGGTCCGTCCCATATGTGTGTGTGTGTTTTTTTTTTTTTTTTTTTTTTTTTTTTTAAAGAGACCGTCCCATATGTTTTTAAGAGCACTTTCATGTCTCAGTGACAGAGAGTCTAGAAATTACTAGTTGAGATTAGTGTGGGGATTTTATTGGAATTGACAAAATGCTAAAATGTAAGCACCTCATTGTAGCACTGTGTTTTCTTGTATCTACAGGGAGAAAAGAAGATTAAACACATTCTATCATGATGACTGTTTTATTTCTAATAATAGACTTGTTGACACCAGCTTATAGGAAAAAGCCCACTGTTATGAAATTGTATTACATGTATTTCTAGAGTCGGAAAGCATGTAGTAAATTTGTAAAATATTTTAAAGATAAATTAATACTTGTTAGATTCCTCTAGCCTCAAACTCCAAAGAGGAAATTTAATGTGAACACCGATTTAGATGATTGAAGATCAATATGATATTTCTTCTGAAATTTTCTTCTTCCAAGTACCTTTTTAATCTCTCTGGGCCCCTGATGGGTTGCTTTCCTTTAAACTCTCTGTCATGCTCAGAGGGGAGTATTTCTGGTTTGTCATTGGTGGTGTCCTTGAAAACCATTGTCTGTCCTGCACTTTCACACTAGCCCAGTGGTTTGTGTGTGTGAAGTGGTTTGGGGAGTAAAGTCTGAGTAGCTCTGACTCCTCTCTGCCTGTGCCTCTGCCTCCTTGAAGCCAGTGGGTGGATGGTACCACAAGCGCCAGGGCCACCAGGTCACTGGAAATATTCTGGCGGGGAGGCAACTCGGCAGGTGGAAACCATCTTGAGAACACTAGTATCTCTGGGATGGGCGTTTTCAAAGTTCAGAGCCTCAGGAATGTAGAAGGGGTGCTGTTTACGCAAGCCTAATCAGCACTTCATTTTCTTGCTTGCTTGAGATTATATATATATATATATATATATATATATATATATATATATATATATATATATATTTAAACTGCAGGATATATATATATATATATATATATATATATATATATATATATATCCTTATCTTCTTTTGGTCTCTTGCCAGAAGAAGTGAGAAGCAGGTGATTTTATTTGAAATCCATGCCTTTGCTTTTCACCAGCTCTGTGCCAGAAGGGAATTCTTTGTCATCAGTTCCAGCAAGTGCTACCCAGCTCCCCTCCTCTTGGAACCAGACATGCTTAGACCTCCTGGTCCTTGGCAGAGAGATCCTCACATCTCCTTCTCTGTGCTCACTCCTGCTGCTGCCTTGGCAGTGCGCACGCAGCTGCAGCTGCAACCTGCTTTTATTCCTTGCCATCCTTATCTTTATTGCCCACACCTACTGTGATTCACTTGGTTTTCTTCCAGTGTAGTGCCTTTTGTGAATTTGGTGTTTTTTCTGGGGAAAACATAACTTTGGCATGATTTTGTCTAAGGAATTGAACTTCAAACGCAGCTCATGATAACCTCCAGAAAGAGGGCTTTTTCTGTTCTCTGTACTTTAATGGAGTATTGCTACTAAAACAGGCATCCAAGTTGTGCCACCTGACTCTAGTGAGAAGGTTCAGTATCCATTGTGGTAGAAGGTTTCCCCTTTGCCTGTCAGGAGTTTGTGGGAAGCAAAGTCTCCCTCGTTTCTCCGCTTTGCTGCCTTTGAATCCGGATGTCTTGGGGCAGGGGAGTCTTACCACTCACTTTTCTGTTTTGTCACTTTGATCTTCACTTCCTTATTTCCGTAGATGGGATGGTCATGCTGGCCCCCTTGAAATGTGTGGCCAGTTACTCGAATTTTTATGGTTCTAGATTCCATGTTCTATTCATGGATGGCATTTTCATTGACTCCAAAAATGCATTCTCTTGGTCAAGCCTAAGGATACATCAGGCTTGATCAGGAATCTTCAGAAAATGAGTACTGTTGCCTGAACAGTGTTGCTCAGTGGTTGAGCATCGACCTATGAACCAGGAGGTCCCAGTCAGGGCACAAGTTTCTGGCTTGATCCCCAGTAGGGGGCTGCAGGAGGCATCCAATCAATGATTCTCATCATTGATGTTTCTCTCTCTCTCTCTCTCTCTCTCTCTCTCTCTCTCTCTCTCTCTCTCTCTCCCCCTCCCCCTCTCCCTCTCCCTCTCTCTTCTTCTCTCTGAAATTAGTAAAAATGTATATTTAGAAAAAGAAAGAAAAGATGAGCAGTATTTGAGTTCTGTTCTGAATATAATTTGTGGAGTTCATAAAATATTTCATGTATTTACATGCTGAGCTGCTAATTCCCATCCTCATTCTTGTTTTCCCCCCTAGAATGCCACCCCACCTGCAGGCAGTGCCATGGTGCATCCGAATCTGACTGCATTTCCTGTCACCCTCATGTCACGATTAATGGTGGAAACTGCAGGACCAGCTGCAAGGAAGAGCAGTACCTCAACCTCATGGGGTACTGTGCTGGTGAGTGATACCTCCTCAGAGTCTCAGAACCACTGCCAAAGGCTGGCCGTTCTTCATTTCAAGCTTTAAAGGCCCTTGTACCTGTTTATCAGCTGAGGAAGAGCTCTTTTCTCAGGAGACATTTATTTCACGTCTGGGAACTCATTTCACTGCTTCCTATCAGACGTTTAGTAAATAATAGTGGATTCAAATGGAATCTTCTAATAATACTCTTGCAATTTTTGAAAGAACTTAGAATCTCAGATGAATGAAGATTGGAGTCATGATAATATCATCTATGCACGTGGCACACTTTGGCTTACAATAGCAAAATGTATTTTCAACACAATCTCACTGAAGACTGTCTCCCTCTTATCTACACTATCTCCTGGCTCTTGCTATGGAGAATCTTTGCCATCAGCTCCAGCACCAAAATTTAGAGAAATTAACACAAAAGTAAATCAGTTGCCTCAGGAGTTGGGTTTATTCCTCCTCATTTAGAACCCAGATCTCAAAAAGAAATAAGTTAGGAGAGCAGCATGAAGTTTGGATAATGATGAAAGAGCCATACAGTGTTTGTGGTCATCCATTCATTCATGTAGCAAATATCTTTGAAAGTCCACTAATGGCCAGATGCTCAGAATACAAAAAACTTTTAAAAAAAATGCCGAATAAGACAACGACTCTGTTCCCAAAGAGCTAATAGTCTGGAAAAAGTAAATTATAGGCTAGTGGGTCATTGTTTATTTCCTGACCCACTTTTCTCAATTTAGGAGAAATGTGAAGAGATTTGCTTGTGCAACTGTTGTTTCAGCTCTGAAGGGCTCGCCTGAGAGGCATTTTGGGATGCTACTGGGCAAGTGGGAAAGATGAGAAAGCCAGAATCAGGTTGGATGCGTGCTAGAGGGATTGACTTGGCTGTAGGGCTTGTCCTTGGACAGTAGGAGGTATGGCTGAGTGTCTAGATTATAACATGAACAGGCACATTGAGTCTGGGACAGCATTGATATTTCAGTTGTCAAGTTTGATGGTGAGGGCACAGCAAGTCAAGGGTAGTGCTTTAAGTATAGCCGATGGTGCCAGGGTCCTGGGGATTCCTTCCTTTTTGCACCATGACCTTTGCTATAGACATTGGGGTCCAAAGCCTATATCCTAGAAAGACTGAACTGTGAAGAGCAAAGTTGCAACCAAAAATGCTGGAATTTAGGGCAAAAACCAGTTGTTATATAAGTTCAGAGAAGAGAGAAGAAAAAGATATGGAAGGCATTGTGAAGGAGGTGGGACCTAAAATTCTTCCTGAAGAATAGCTAGGATTACATTAGACAGAGGGAGGTCAGGCAGACTTTCTGAGTGTGGTTCCACCAGGAGACAGGCACAGTGGAAGAGCATGTGGGCTGTTCACGGCCAGTGAGATCCAACTTGGCTGAAGAACATGGTTTGTAGTAAGGCATAGTAGATGAAACAGTTGGGAAATTTAAGTTGGAACTGAAGTATAGAAAACCCAGAATTTCAGGCCAAAAAAATTAGATGGAATTTTGTGGGCAATACAGTCATGAGAGTTTTGGAGAGGTCAGTGACTTGACTAAAATGGTGTGTTATGGGCAGGAAACGTGCATGCTGTGTGGGAGTTAGACTGGAGCAAGGCAAGATGAGAGTCAGAGAGAGGCATTAGAAGGCAGGATCTTCATTATGCTTTTCTATTTCCAACCTATTCAGTGTGTGCACCTTGAAATTTTTATGCTGGGGAAATTTTAAAAATAAATGTTTATATAAGGAGATTGGAAACATTTAATTTTTAATGAGCTTTGTTTTCTCCAATGTCCAGAGCTCTCTTTGAGAGTAAATTAGGAGTACATTAATTTTTTAAGGTTAATAGGGGACCATTAGAATAAAGAATCATAGCCCTGGCCAGCTTTGCTCAATGGTTGGAGCATCAGCCTGTGAACTAAAGGGTCTTTGGTTTGATTCCGGTCAAGGGCATGTACCTGGGTTGCAGATTCCCCACCCCCATTGGGGTCATGTGGGAAGCAACCAATTGATATGGCTCTCTCACATCTGTTTCTCTCTCTTTCTCCCCCTCTCCCTGTTCCTTCCACTTTCTCTAAAATCAATGGGAAAAAATACCCTCTAGAGAGGATTAAAAAAAACAACCAACAATGAATAAAGAATCATGGGACTAGGCTATATGACTCTAGAAATACCTATCCCTAGAAGAGCAGGTCCCACTAAAATAGCTAGAAGAGACAAACCTTGTCTGTCCTTGGCATTAGGCATATTGAGTATTGGTTTTAAATAAGATAACCATTGTCCAGTGCTTGGATATCCTTTGTTGAATAGGGACAGGTGTATGAGTGTCTAGTATAGAAAAATTTGACCAGTAATTTCAATTGTTCATCCTTCAGAGAAGTGTATTGATTTCAAAGTTTACTTTTTCAATAAATATGTATCATTTCCAAACAACTCCCATTTCTCTCTGTAGCATTGTAATGCATTTGTTCATTTACTGCTTAATCAAATATTTATTAAGCACACGCTTCATGCCAGGCACAGTGCTTGGCTCTAGGGATACAGAGATGGATAAGATATAATGCTTGCATTCAAGAAACATAGAATGTAAGAAGGAAGGGGGTGAAAGAAAAAGAAGGAAGGGGGTGTGTGTTGAATATGATATTGCTGTGGATATGAGATAAGCCTGTGGGACAGGACTCCAACTCAGACCAGAGGGTGTGTGTGTGTGTGTGTGTGTGTGTGTGTGTGTGTGTGTGTGTAGAGTGGATATAGAAAGCTTCCTAGAACATTTCATAACTGAGATAATTTTTAAATATTGAGAGGGGTTTGGAGATTTAGAAGGAAGAGCATCCCAGAAAATGGTCCAAAGAATATTATCTATTCAGGCACCAACCAAGAGTTAAGTAGAATGCCGGCCCCTAGCATGGAAGTGGTGGAACTTGAAGCAGAACCAGGTCATGAGGCCATTGTATTTTCTGTGTAAGGAGGACATACTTTGTTATCAAGGCTGTGGGATCTCTTGAAGGTTTTAAAGAGATTATGAAGGCTGCTATTTTGTGAGCACAAATGGTCAAATAGTGGCGATTTAATACAGTGCCCCTCCCCCCTTATCTGTGGGGGAGGCATTCCAAGACCCCCAGTGGATTGTACCAAACGATCCATGGATAGTACTGATATATAAATTATATATATATATATATATATATATAATGTTTTTTCTTGTAAATACATACCTTTCATTTAAAGAAAGTGCTTTAAGGTTTCTCTTTGTCATATCCCAATTGCCAGCATCACTACTCGTGCTCTTTGGAGCCACCATTAAATAAAATTAGGGTTACTTGAACACAAGACACTGCAATACCACAACAGCCAATCTGATAACCCAGATGGCTACTAAGTCACGTTGGGGCAGGTAACATATAGAGCATGGATATGCTAGACAAAAGGATGGTTCACATTCCCAAAGGGACAGTGTGGAATGGGCGGGGCGGTATTGGATGGCACAAGATTTCATCATGCTACTCAGAAAGTCATGCTCTTTAAAATTTATAAATTGTTTATTTCTGGAATTTTCCATTTAATATTCTTGAACAGGAGTTGACCAAAGGTGACTGAAACTATGGAAAGCAGAGTTGTGGATAGGGTGAGCTTACTGGAGAAGCAACAGAAATTACTGATCTCTTAACCCTGGAGGGAGAAGGAGTTTGGGGGTTGATTTCCCAATTTCTGATCAAGTAAATTCGAGGAATGAGAGTACCATCTACCAATTGCCAGACTAGGAAGATAAGATGTTTGAATTTAGACACGTTGAATATGGGGTGACTATTCGACATCCAGGGAGAGCCATCCAGGAGGAGGCTGAAGACCCAAGTTAACAGGTGTTTTACTGGAACCACCAGGAGCTCATCTGCTATCTCTCTTTTACCCTGAACCTAATGTGCAGCAATGTTTCTTTCTTTTAACTGAAGTCTTGCTTTAGTCAGGTCAGAGTTAACCTCATGGAACATTTCAATGACTTTTATCTAAACTCAGGAACTTGTTAAGAAGAGCCCGATGATGATCAACAAAGCAGAAGAAAATCCTCCCTAGGCAGTGCCATCCGGGGAATGTGTTTTCATCATTCTTGGGGAGTTCTGGCACAGTGAAGGCCCCGGGGAAGGGCCCCGTCTGTTCCCTCTATCATGTGTGAGGTTTGCAGGGTGGTGGGATTTACTCACAGGATTTATATCTATGTGAGCTGTACCTGTGATCATCATCACAGACCTCTTAATTGTACTTGGCTGTTTAAAAAAGAAAATTACATCTAATCTATCACACAGACAAGAATAAACATATCCTGGGAACAGGTCCAATAACCTTAATGTGATTATCACATACAGAGATGTCATATGTGTGGGGATTTTTTTTTCCCTTTAAGTCTATCAAAGCAAATATACAGTTTGTGAGATTTAGACCAGGACTGAAGGTTTTCAATAGAGATAAATGCACTGGGGTGAGAGGCAGGAGTGGATAAGATTACAGAAGACATGGATAAGCATTGTGGAAAGCCAGGTTTTTTCTTCATAGATTTTTTTTCTTAGGATTTTGCACACATCTCAGCAACATTATCCAAAAATTCCAAAGTCTTAGGTGCTTCCTCCTTCTGTTTTTTTTTTTCAACTAAATCTTTTCTCCTACTTATAGAATACAATAGAAATTAAAAAGAAAGCGTGAGTGAGAAATATGCAAATGCAAAAGCCAAAAAGAAGCATCTTGGACTTTGAGGCATGGCCTAGTGCAGTGGTCAGCAAACTCATTAGTCAACAGAGCCAAATATCACAGTACAACAATTGAAATTTCTTTTGAGAGCCAAATTCTTTAAATTTAAACTATATAGGTAGGTACATTGTTATTAACTTAATTAGGGTACTCCTAAGGCTTAGGAAGAGTCATACTCAAGGGGCCAAAGAGCCGCATGTGGCTCGCGAGCTGCAGTTTGCCGACCATGAGCTAGTGGAATCGCTATACTTAGA